CTCTCTCTCTCTCTCTCTCTCTCTCTCTCTCTCTCTCTCTCTCTCTCACTCGTTCTCGCCGCGCGGAGCTGAACGATTTTTTTCTCCTCTCTCTCTCTCTCTCTCTTTCATTCTTCATATTACGCTTATATCGCGCGAAATAAATCCGCGAGTCCGATAGGGGGTAGAGAGCGACGGTTTGTCGCGCGATAGGTCGCGCGACCGTGATTGATACGAACTGTTGCGACGATAATTGTTGGGAAAGGGGGGAAAATGGCTCGGTCGCGTCGGATGGGAGATAAACGACGTATTTCCACGGAGGATGATCGTTCTTCATCCGCGGGACACCTGCGTTCGTCTCTCGATTAGCGCGACGATGCCTCCTCGCTGGGATGCTTGAGAAGTCGGAGCAATTGAGGGTTTGCAGGGAGTGGCGGGGAGCTGTTTCTTGAAATGGGACGCTGGAGGATTGCGAATGTGATCAGGAGGAGTGAAGTTCATTGGCATCCCTATATTCGTTTAGATTAGAGTGATAGTTGTCGAAATGTGGGGCCGATTAGCAGTTTGTGAGGCAAAGTGAGGAATTGTTTCTTGGAATGGGACGCTGGAGGATAATGAATGGGATACAAAAGAATGGAATTCATAATTATCGGAGACATGTGGGTTGGTAAATAACACTGGCCAAGACGTTGTAGTGATTATAATAAGGGAGGGTGCTCCAAATTGAATCACTTATATGTGTGGATCCATCCTTTGCATTCGAGGATGTGCTAAGAGAATACACATTGGTGTAAATAATGTAGCATAAAAAGCATGTAATTTATTGTGATGCTACTTTGATTTATTTGTTCGTGCTACTTGGGTGGAAACCTCCAAGTAAGTGTACACCTTTGAAAATATTGTGCTCCAGAGAATGTATATCGTCTGATCTCTACCAATGTTCTCTGGACTTCCAACGTCCCCTCGGAGAGGACATCCGAGTGCAAAGGGTTAAGTACATGTATGAACATATGCAATGAATAATACATTCTTACACTCTTCGTATACTAACCCATTTGCATCACACAAAAAATTGAAACTTTCATTCCTATTACAAAAACCTTTCTTCGTATCGTTTAAATAAAAATCATTTAATGAAAAAATAAAACGTATGAAGAATAAAAAGTCACACTAATAATAATAAAAATAACGCAATCCAATAACCTTGCACAGCATCGTAAGACTTATAATAGTAATAATGCAAGTGGTTTGATAATTAACACCTTCCAAGATCTCTACATTCACCAATCAACCTAAGCTCGTCCCAAGTGCATTCCCTATTCGTTTACTACACATTTGATGACAAGGTTCATCCGACTCCGTTCGCAATAGAGACTCTCGAGTGTTTCTTCCAGTCGAGTGCGCCACTCTCGAGGAAGATTTGTCGAAACGTAACGACAGATCGTTACGTTTATGGTGAAAGCGACTTACGTAGTAACAACTACCATTTCAAGTCGTCGCTTAAGACTCCGTCCGTATGACAAATCGTTGCGTCTGCGGCCCCTGTGAAGCGACCCCTGTAATTCGCGACGTCGAGAGTGTAGGGCTGCGTGTCACTGTTTCACGACGCTTATTCAGCGAAACACGCGAGGCTTCGTTCGAGGATACGTCGGTGCACCGTTTTCAAGCGAGCTGGTACCGGTTTCGTCGCTCGAAAGCGGACGGATACATTTTGTGCATCGTGCACCGAAAATGCATAAGCATCCGCGGTCTCGGTAACAAACAAATGTCGAACAAACAACAAATTTCGAAAAGGGGATTCGGGA